CGTTTAGCCAAAACATGCGGAAAAGTCAAGGTGCGTGACTGTTGTTTTCGTGGTGTGTATCTAAACAATTGGACATAACCTTACACATTAAGACAAATATTAAGACTAGCATTACAGTTGACCCTAAAAGCTCTTTTCCTGTAACCTTGGCGTGCCTGCAATCCCTGCAGGCTGAATAGTTACAGCAAGCTAGTCACCCTGTCTGCACTAAACATTCCTAGACAACAAATCTCTATCCACATTTATCTAACTAAGAAATAACCTAACAGACTGCTTCGTCTCTCAAGAGTTAGCGTGGTTAAAAGTATCGGGGTCCCAACAAGCTTTAGTTACTTTTCATAATTTTAGTTACCTGTCATAACTTTATTTTCCTTTAGTTACTTTTCACACCTTTATTTTTCCTTGCTTATATATATTAAAACTGTATTGATGACTGTCATATTCTACTGAGTTGGAACTTTAGAACTGTATGCTGTAACTTTTGTGGAAACATGATGTCTGTACCTTCAAGTAACCAGATGGCCTATTTTACATTTTAACACAGACCTGTTGGTCTGCTTTGCATCTTCACATAGACCCGCTTAGTGTATTCCAAGTTCTGCTTTGTCATGTAATATCTTGTAGAGACAGGGGGTCTACAACCTGAGATGACCACCTGCCCCATTTAGCATACTCACTAGGTCCTGCTTTTGTCCTGCAATAGCCTATACAGATAGGTGGTCCTGCAGCGCAGACGACCACTTGTTCAGTATTCATTGATTAGCTGCTGACCTGAAAACCACAACACACACACCTGGTTTAGATCACATTTCAGCAAGCAGGCGTGGGCAGAGGTTGACCTGCTCGCGCCAAATGGCCAATAGGATTACGAAGTGTGAAATGTCGTATCTCTGTACAAGAAGGACTCAGCCCAGAAGATAAATGTAACCAGAAAATATAACACGTGGTTCAGAGAATACATTTCCTGCAGGAGCTCTGTCTCTCTGATGCCAGCGCCGCCTTGTCTGACCTGTGCCCAGACTTTTGAGTAAACTTTCTGTTGATTTTATACAGTCCTCTCTTCTGTCTTCTCTTATCGCGCTTTCAATAAAAGAACTGGGTAAAAATCTAACACTAATTAAAAACAGCTAATATTTTTTTCTGGAGCTGAATGCCCTTAACTGTATTTTACATCTGTTGAAGGAGTGTGTAATGAATGCTTAGCAGTGTTTTTATTTTGACTGGCTTTGTGCGAATCTGAAAACACTTTTTGATTTTGAGCAGAGCCAAAACTGTTATAAGGTGATTTATTTTGTAAGCAGGTTTTGTGAATGTAGTTTGAAAAATTGGTTTTGTGTTTACAAAGAAAGGGGTGCAATGTTTCAAGAAACATGTCTTAACAATTGTGAAAAATTGTAATATTCATTCCTAGTTACTGACATTATGCTAGACATGAAGCTACCATAGATTATGTGGCCAAAAGTATGCAGACACCCAAACAATGCAAGATAAACAGATAATGACTAATTATGGCTATTAAACTGCTGTTGTAACACCCTCCACTCTTTCTGGTTTCAGACTTTTGTTAGGTAATTTTTCAGTCAGATATTGGTTAGATACTTGTTGTATTAGAAATGTTTAGTGGAGACAGGCTGTCCAGCTCAGGCTGTTAAATGCTTAGTCATTCTCATGAGTTTTTGCAGGGTGCATTATGGACAAGGATAACTAGATAGAAAAAGTCTGCAGGCAGGAGGATATTGTTATTATTATGATATATGTAACCGTAATGGTAATCATAATATTTTCTTATGTGTAATGTCATGACATGTCACTAGATGTCATGACAAGATGTTCTTAGATACACACCACTAATCAACAGCCACATACATTGATTTTCTTCATGTTTTGACTATTGTTATGGTCAGCTGCAAAGCTGGCATATCAGGTGACGTCACGGTTTGACGTTCCTGTGTAGTATGGGCTAGCCCAACCAAGTGATAATATTGTATAGGCATTATGGTTCAGGGTCCTTCATACTTGGTTCTGCCTGCGTGCAGGATCGGAGGTGGAACAGATCTGGACGTGTAATGTTACTTTTACCTGTGATTCTTTGAATAAACCAGCACGGTTATTTTTTATATAATCCAAGTGGTCTGCTTCGTCTCTGGGAGTTCCTGGTTACAAAGAGCCGGAAGAAGCTTACACAAAAATAGCTTTTACTTTCTATCACTCTCTGGAACCTGGCTGCAGATATTTGCTCCCATTCAACCACAAGAACATTAGTGAGGTTCCACACTGATGCTGGGTGACAGGTTCTGGCTCATAATTAGCATTCCATTTCATCCAAATGGTGTTGGATGGGGCTGAGGACAGGGCTCTGTGCAGACCAGTCAAGTTCCTCAACCCTAAACCACTTCTTTGTGGAGCTGGTTTTGTGCACATTGTCATGTTGGAAAAAAAAATGCCAAAGCTGACACAAAGTTAGAAGAACTCTACCGTGTAAAATAGTGTTTTAAAGGGCTGTCCATATCATCATATACAGTACATGATAAAGCAAAGGTAGCATATCTTTACATCGCCAGTAACTGCACCTTGTGCTTTACCTCCCACTAGAATGGGGAATAATTCAAAAACACAACTTAAACATTAACACACAACAACAAAACCACAAAGAACTCTGTCTGTAGACACCCTGATAATGTCTTCTATTAGTTAAGTCCATGCTTCAGTTTATTTATCAGTCGCTGACTTTGCGGGCTCGTCGGCAGAACGTCCAGTGATGTTCCACTGTGTTCTCATTGGCTCGTTCACTCATGTGGTGAACACGTGTGTTGCGTATTGTGAAACCCTGGAAAATAACAAGACAGACAACCTAAGTAACAAACTCTACTTTTGTTATTAGCACAATTTTTAAAAATAATTTGTATAAAAAAAACTTATTCAATCTATTTTGAACATGGTAAGACTTAAGAACTGTCACTTTTGTGGATTTTATTTGCTGCTTTTTGACATGGAACACATATAGTATGGGCAGGATCAAACATCTACTTTTATGTTTAAAACTGACCACAAAGCTAAAAGAAAAAAAAAATCTGCAGTGACAAGCTGAGATCTAATTTCTTGGTGTTGATCTAAATGTTGTTTTCTAGCAGGAAGACCATTTCTACCCATGATGTTAAAGGTGAGATAAAAACTACATACAGCTTTGGAGATGAAGTCAAGCAGGTGGACACGCAGGCTAACTTCCTGTTGGTGGTCACATGGCCCGAAGGTGAAGGACACCTGGTAGTCTCTGGTGTCCATCATGTGTTTGTTCCATTTTGTGAAACTGCTGGAGATGGACTCCAACACTGCTTGGACCTTAAGAAAGAGAAAGAGTCATGTCATTGCTTAAAGTGTACTTTGTTTATTTAAGTCAGTGTAAAGAACAGAATACAACAGAAATATGTAAATTGTGGGAAGGATGTGACGAATTAAATTAGAGAAATTTAGTGGCTACTCTCTGAATGTACAGAGAAAATACAAAGAAGAAAACGGCTGGGAAGAAAATAAGATAATGATGCATTCAATCACATTTTTGCACCACAGAATATTCTGCTGAGATATTTCAAATTAACCAGGCCTGTTCCCACTGACCTTGGTGGTGATAGTGAGCTGGGTGATGATGACTGCGACGGGGTTAGAGTACTTTGACAGCTTCCTGGTGCTGGACAGCTCCACCACCTCCTCGTAGGTGTCGGTGGGGTACGGCAGCAGGGGTTTGGGGTCACCCAGGCACTGGATCAGGGGCTCAATCTGATAGAAGTCAGCCTCTTTCCTGAGCAGCTCGGTCTCCTTGAAGTCGCACGGCAGAGCCAGCTCTGATGTCCGAAGGAAGTTGAGGATGTAGCTGAAAGAGCAGAAATAGAGAAAGGATCAGACTGGACAGCAGAGCTGATGATTCTTAAAAACTGTAAGTTAAAATGAAGACATGTAGGACGAGAGCTGATGAGCGTGCAAGTCAAAGTGTGGTTCAGTTTTTTGTACATTTGAGTCTTATTTTTGATCTAAAAATTTGATTCATTCCTGTTTCAAAGGTTAAGGTGCATATTATTCTACATTTCTATGCCTCTTTTGTGATCACACATCAAAGGTCACTGTGACCTCACGTCTGTCTTATTGCCATGAATTTGGCTGGTTTGCAGAGTCATACAACCACGAGGCAGTAATTCTAGTTATTGTCAGTAAATCACATGATTACCCAGTTACATAACATGCTTTATTAGTAACTATAGAACTAGAATCAGATTCAGATTTTACCAATTCAGAATAATTCTCTTGGCTTGTAAAGTTTCATTTGGAATAATCTGTTTTGATAATTTGTTCCCCAATGTTAGTAAATTTGCTGAACTGAAGCAAGAGAGCTTTTCAGAAACATGCTCCAGACTGGAAAGCTTTCTCAGAACTAGGTTCTTAGCACTGACATCAATAACTGATTTTCTTAAAACATAAAAACTTCTGACCACTCACTAAAGATCCAAACTTGTGCTAGGATCCTAAGCCCTGCACAGTCTTTTATGATGTGGCATTAAATTTTGGAGTCCTAGCACTTACTGCATTTATAAATCTTCATGTGACCTGCCAGCACTGGGCCTCTTAAATTCAGAAAGGATAATCGTGTAGGCAGGGAGACGCAGTGGTTCCTCATAACACCTACAAGGTCTGCTTCATGTGTCATAGAGATGAGCACCTAAACATGCTAGGCTTGTCCTGAGGGGGACGCGAGAGGAAAGTACAGCTGGCTACCAAAATTAAAGGGTTAATCCTCTCTCTGTACGGTGACAATGTTAGGACATCAACTTTCATCAGGATGAGCTGAAGCTATGGTTAGCATCCTGATCTCCATGTAAATAAATGTGATGATAAATAACTACAGTGACAGCACGTTTAACATGTAAGACAACTATCAAGAGAAAATAAACACACATCACCTGTGGAGCATGTTTACTACAGGGTACAAGTGATTCATCTGAACAGTTAGCTGCAGATTTTACTATTCAAAACTGTATAATCCTGTGATACATACAGGTTTACATACACTGTAGCCGAATACATTTAAACTCAGATTTTCATGACTCCCATAAACATTCCCTGTCTGAGGTCAGTTAGGATCACAACTTTATTTTAAGAATGTGAAATGTCAGAATAACAGTAGAGAAAAACACATTCCCAGTGAGTCAGGAGTTTACATACACTCAGTTAGTACTTGGTAGCATTGCCTTTAAAATGTTTAATTGGGTTCAAATGTTTCAGGATGCTTTCCACAAACCTCTTACAATAAGTTGCTGGAATTTCAGCCCATTCCTCCCGACAGAACTGGTGGAACTGGATCAGATTTGGAGGCCTCCTTGCTTGCACATGCTTTTTCAGTTCTGCCCACAAAGTTTCTATTGGATTGAGGTCAGAGCTTTGTGGTGGCCACTCTAGTACCTTGACTTTGTTGTCCTTAAGGCAAGGTAAGGTAAGGTAGAGGTAAGACTTTATTGATCCCACAATGGGGAAATGCCAGTGTTCCAGCAGCAATAGAGAGCAAACAACAAAATACCACAAGAACAACTAACACCATAAGGACCTCCGAGAAGCAAATCAAAGATACCTAAAAAACAAGACAAAACATAGCACTTGAGAGAAATCAAAACAGGAATATTACTCCTACAATTAATTCCACAATGGGGAAAAACCCTGTATATCAACAGTAGAGACTAAACAACAGACACCACAAGGATCTCTGAAAAACAGATCAAGAATACCCAAAAACAAGACAGTACAAGCATTTCAGAAAAATTGTGAATAAGATATCACTCCCACAATCAATCCCCCAGTTTGTGGTCAGAGGGGGAGGGGCGGAAGTGTATGCATTCCTGGCATTTGCATACAGTAGGTCCAGAGTTTTATTGTTCTTTGTGTGGCAATTAGCACACTGGGTGAAGTTTGGGAGGATGGCAGAGAGGGGGAGGGAGGCATGGTTAAGGTCAAGGTCCCCTGAGATGAGGATTAGAGCCTGTGGGTGTTACTTAGCGCGTGCTCGAATGCAGTAGTAGCGTCAGCTGAGGGATAAGTGTAAACCGTCACCACAGACCACAGAACCAGAAGTGTTGGTGAAACACAGAAGGCTGCACTTCCTGTACACCCGTTGCGGTTTAGCTCGTCCATTTTGTTGGGAAGAGAGTGGATGTTTTCCATAGCGACAGATGGTAAACATGGCTCATACCTCTGTTTCCTCTCCTGGTGCTTTATGCCAGCTCTACTGCCTTGCCTTTTTCGTCGTATCTCCGTGGGAATCTTTGGCTTGAAGGCTAATTCTCAGTTCTTTTGACCAGGAACTCAGAGAGACGAAGCGGACCACTTGGATATATAAAAAAATAACCGTGCTGGTTTATTCAAATAATCACAGGTAAAATTAACATTACACGTCCAGGTATCCTCCACCTCCAATACTGCGCACAGGCAGATGAAGAATGAAAGACCCTGAACCACAATAGGCCTATACATTTATCACTTCGGTTGGGCTATTCCCATTCTACACAGCAACGTCAAACCGTGGCGTCACCTGATATGTGTTAGGTAATTTCTTACTCAGGTAGATATTGATTAGATACTTGTTGTATAGGAATGTTTAGTGTAGCCAGGATGTCTAGCTCAGGCTGTTAAATGCTCAGTTCATTGTCAGGAGTTCTGCAGGCTGCATCTAGGCCAAGGTCAACTAGATTGAAGAGTCTGCAGGCAGGATGAATATTGCTAGTAGCATGATATGTTCAGCCGTAATCTTAATCATAATATCTTCCGAGGCTTAATGTCCGGACATGTCCCTGAACGTCCTGTATGTTTTTAGATACACACCACATGATCAACACTCACACACACATTGATTCTCTCCATGTTTTGACTACTGCTACGGCCAGCTGTGAAGCTGGCATATCAGGTGACGTCACGGTTGACGTTCCTGTGTAGCATGGGCTAGCCCAACCAAGGGATAAAATTGTATAGGCATGAGGGTTCAGGGTCTTTTATCCTCCATGCTGCCTGCGCGCAGGTTTGGGGGTGGAAGATGCCTGGACGTGTAATGTTAATTTT